GTAGAAACAGAAATCCTTGAAGGCATGCAGTTACTTCATACAAATACTTGTAAACACATAAGAGAACTCTTCTGGTAGCGCTTTGCGTTTCAGTGTGTGGCTCCACAGGGATTGACAGAGGTCTGACAACCCATGTTGTGACCTGTCACTTGCACCTTGAACAGTGTTCCATCCGCACACATACACAGCTTGAATCGCAGCCAGTTGCCGTTGTTAAACTGCTCCCCGTAAGAAGAGCTCGGCAGTCGCGACGGGCTGACCATCACAGTTCCATTCAGGATAATGCTGTTTTCCTTTCAAAAGGGAAGGAAAAAAAGAATTTTTAGGAAGGACAAGCTAGTTTAACTACAAATTATGTTGCTAGGAAGGTTGTAGAAATCTACAGAATATAACATAACACATAAGATGGTTTCATTGTTTAAATTAATGAATAACACCCATCAGTTTCTCCATTACGGCCGTGGTACTTTGCTATTCTAGTGGTAGATCAGTACTTAGAAAGCAGTGGTAACATGCTAGACAATTCTTCACAGACCTATAAGCAAAGGCAGTGAATTAAAAATAAATGAAATGGACTAATTTTAGTCTCTGTGCTTCTGTTGAAGGTCGCCGTCCACAGTAAAGGTTCAGGAAAAGAACATGTATTCCTTTTGGTGTTCATTTCAGTGCAAAAAAACAATAGCTTACCTTGAACCTCTTCATGGGATTTTAGTGTCTTACAGTATTAAAACAGCATTACCTGAACACTGCTAAGCCGCAAATTAAAAGCGTAATAATAATCTACCTTTAAAAAAATCCAATTAAATATGCTGACTGCAACCAAACTTTTATTAATTATTATTTTATACAAAATTTGAATCGATACAAAACAAAAAGAATTAATCAGCTTCAACTTGAAAGAAAGACATTCAGAAAATGCTGTTGTGAAATACTTACTGCTTTAAGCTCCATGTTGCCCCCCATTCGAAACTCAATGGTCTTGCCTGTGATGAAAACGCCTTCATTTCCACGGACAATAGCACGGCCATCAACCTTTATGTTTAGGTCACTGGTTGCATTGCTAGTAATCTAAAAACGTACACAAACACAAATATTACAGATCAATGAAAATGTGCCACTTGCGTTCATCTGAGTAACTTTAATAATCTTGAAAACATTGCTCAATAATTTAATAAAAAAACTTCAACGTGTTTTGTGCCCTTCTCCCATTATAACTATGAAGATTTTGCCTGTTTGTTATCTTCTACATTTACATTTGCATGGCTTACTTAATTTTGGAAGGTATGTAACATAGTTTGTCTGTGTATCACTCGATTGTGATAAAAATAACTCACCTGACAGTTGCATGGGATACAAAATCAATGCTGCAAGCAAGTGCAGCCTTCCATGTAAGGACTAATTATGTAAACTTGTTCCTCTGTTCTTATTTAACCTGTTGCTCTGACATATTTAAAGTTCTACTTGTTATTTTTCTCCCTGCTGCACACTTTTTAATTGCTAGCCAGCAGAGAAAACATAAGGGAGAAAATGAAAACCACTGTCTTTTCTTGGTCCTGAGACACATGCAACCCTCAATAAATCCACTGACACCACTCTGTTAAGTGTTTCATAACAGAACTGTGTGCAGTACTGTGTTTGGAAAACCTTTCTTATGACTGATATGCAAGAAAGAAATTTCAGTCTGACATGAAGACTGACATTATGCATACAAAAATATACAGGTTTTTGATTCTCTGATAAATAAAGTATATTTAATGTAGAAACCAAACTAAGAACATGTTCAACCTGGAAGCCATGAACTAATAAAACTCATACTGTCATGATTGTTCTCTATGCTTCTTTGAAATTCTGATTGTACTGACATTTATCACCAATAGAACGAAAGCGATGCACGACGTTGAAAGTTGTTACTAAAAAAAGAAAAGCTTTTCATAGGAATTTTATTTCTGAAACAGCTCTCCACGTACAAGCTAATGTATGTAGATGCTTAACACAAAGTCACGCAGGGCTTCCTAATCCTGATGATGGAGCCAGCATGGTATTCCAGATGTTACACTTGCTTAATAATGTCAGTTTTCATTTCTATTCTAATTTTTAGGACGCGTTTGGTTTTCAGAGCTGCCAATTTTAGCTATATTCAGTCACATTTCTAGATCTGGAAAATGAAATTAATAAATTTCTTCCGTATTCTCCAACTAAGACAATTCTGTAATTAGCTTTACAGAGAGTACTTAAGGAAGTTAATTTTTTAGAAGTTGAAGAAGACATACCCTCTCTGTAGAGGCCTTTTGTACGTTCAAGATTTTAACTCCATTTGGCAGATGAAACTCATGAGTTTCATAGTCTGTGCTGAACAGAGTATTTTGTGTCCGGGGGTCAACAAATTCCATGCCAATATCACTGGTGATGGAAGTTTTGTCTTTTTCCACACTAAGCTTGGTTGTTCCTTGCTGAAATACAATCTTCAGAAGCAAGAGTCTTTAAGTTAATGACGTTTCAAACATTACGTTTATTAATAACCCGAGTGTCATTCCAGCTCAGGATATAACTTACAGGCTGATTATTTCCAGTGATCACCAGATCTTCATTCCGTCTGCCCCCTACAGTGCTTTTATACAGCGGATGTATCACCCCCATGTCAGAAACTTGTTTAAACCGCAGTAAGCCGCTCTCGTGGAACTCCATGCTGTCACAGCCATTGGGGCCGATTCGAATCACTGCCCAGATAACAAGTGTAATCTGAAAGAGAAACACGCCTTGTCAGACATGACTTCAATATTACAGGTAGCTTAACAGTGAATCCTGGATACATCTGTACTGCACTAATAACATTCCGTGTATTTTCTGCCGCGGAGTTTCTGGAAGGGAGAAAGAGCATCAAGGCTCCTGCTCCTGTGGGCTCATGCTGGGCCTGTGCCAGTGAAATACGGATGACTGAACTGGAAGGATTCTTCTGTCTAATTCTGCTCAGAGTACAAAGGAGCAAAAAGGAGAGGGAAAAAATTATGTGCCTCCCTCAGTACTTTTTATGTCCTTCTCAGCCATACTGGAGTACAAGTATTCTTTCTCTAATAAACAGTCAAAACAAAACACATCCTAACATTGCTTACAGCCTAACTATTATACTCACAATCAGATTGATGACAGCCAAAATAAAAAGAAGGACGATCACACAGATGGCCAAATTGCCTTTCCTGCCACGTAAGCCTGTCTTATGGAGTCGGTCTTCATCAATTGGAATGTACCCAGCTTTGAAGTTACTGTTGTGCTCCTTATTGACGTTCCTGCGTTCTACAGCCTTCTCACGCATAGATTTCTTCACTGGCCCATTGGAACTTTGCTATGATACAAAACACGGGTTAGCTGTTGCGAGGTGTGTATAAATCCACCAAAGTGATACACGTCTACGTATGCAAAAAAATACACAACTGATCATTGGAATATATTATATTCCACCCAGGGTTGATTATGTTTTATTACAGCCCTCCACTCTGTACTTACAGTATAAAGCCACTGCCAGCCAACCTGTTAGGGGGAATGGGCCTGGCTGGCTGTAACTTACTGTTTGACAGTGATTGGATTGCAAGGTGCTTCCCTGCAAACAGTCCTATTAATGCATATCAGAAACTCTCATAGACATTCATAGGGAAAAAAAGCTTGATTTTCCTGGCTATTTCCATAGCTTTGTACACTGCTTTGTTCCACCTTAACTGAATGACTCAGGTCGCTGTGCAAAGGTCCAAAAAGGGGTTCAGTCTTTTGACGGCACAAGGTGCGTTCGGCTGGATCCCGGAGCTGCGCGGTGCGCTCCTGTACCTGCACGCGGATGTACCGATGCGGGGGGCGAAGACGCCTTCTGTTTTCTTTTGGAGCCGAGCAGGAAACGGTACCGAGAAAGGCGCCTGACCTGCGCACAGTCTGACGTGCCGAAGCCAGCCGAGCTCGCCCCGCGCTCCTGCACGCCCCGAGCCGAGCGCGGTGACTCAGGCGCAGCTCTATTTATACGGCGCGGATAACGGGCCGCTCCGCCACCCAGCAGCGTCTCATTCCCACTCGCGCAGCGCCGCCGCGGCTCCGTGCCAGCACGTCAGAACACCCCGCTTCCCAAACGCACTCTCCCCTCTCGCTCTCCCCCTCGCCCCCCCCCAGGCCCGTGCACGGCACTCCGGCTGCTGTTACGACCACGGCGCGCAGTCAGCCTCCCGCCGACCCCAGATGTTCGGAGGGGGACATCTGTTGGCCGCCGGGATCCCCGTCCCGAGCGCGGCTCGGACCCTCACCGCGAAAGCCGCGCCCCCCGCCCGGCCGTCCCGCGCCGCGCCCCGCGCACTGACCTGCTCGGAGGCGGCCGCCGCCATCTTCCTCGGGTGCCGCCGCTGCTGCGGCAGCTCCGCACTCCCCCTGCCGGAGAGAGGCGGCGGGGCTGCCCGCCGACGGCCCGCCGCTCTCCGCAGGGGCGCCGACCGACTTCCCGGCGCCCTGCGCTGCGGATCAGCGCCGTGACCCTCACGCGCGTCCCCGAGCCCATCGCCACACTCGCACGGCCCTGACGTCAGGCGGGGACCGGCCCCGCGGTGACCGCGCGTTGCGGAGCGGTTTTCCCGCAGTGAAGCGTTCGAGGCTGGCAAAAGGCTGTTGGAATAAGGAGCTTATCCACGCACGTGGCGAGCAGCCCCTCAATAGCGCATATGTGAGCGTTCCCAGCCACAGGTCCCTTCGCAAATAACTCAAGGATTTCTCTGCGTTAAGCCACAGGGGTATTTATTTATTTATTTATTTGTTTATTCCACGCTAGGAAATGAAAACGAGGGGCGCGGTGAGACATCGCTCCTGCTCCATCGCCGCCTCCTCCTCAAGCCCGTCGCAGCGGGGCGACCGCTCGCCCCGGGCAGGCAGCAGCAGCGAGGGCGACTGCAGACGGCATAGAAGTGTTATGGCGCCACCTGGCGGACGCACCGCATGCCCCTGCGCTCCCCGCCGCGCTGGGCCGGGCCCGGCCGGGGAGGGCAATGGCGCCGCGGGGTGGCCGCCCCGTTGCCACAAGCAGAGCGCGCCCTGCTTGCGTCGTCCTGGCACCCGCCGCGGCCGGCCTACGTTATAATCGCGGCTATAAAGGCAGCGGCGCCGTGGCGCCGCCCACAGCCGTGAGCCCCGGCGGGAGGCATCAGCTCCTGCCGTGCTACCATCGGAGGGCTCGCGGGTGGACGGGACAGGACAGGACAACGAGACCGCAGTAGCCCGTCCCGGTCACGCGCCCACCCGTGAGAGAGCTGCCCACGAGCATGGCTGGCAGCTTGAAGAAGCTTGTCAAAGCCGAGAGCTGCCGGCTAATGCAAGAGAAATTAGAGAGCTGGTCTAAGGACTATGAGGTGCGGAGAGCCGCGGAAACCCATATCGGCTGCCTCTCCCCGAGGTCCGCGGGCAGCGCGGCCATGGGGCCGCAGGGGCGTCGGGAGGCGGCGGTTGCCCGGAGCCCGCCGAGTTGTGATTCCGCGGTGATCGCAGCTGTCCTCTGAGCGCCGCTTTGGGACGCGCACGTGTACACACTGCTGCCTCCTGGCGTGCACAGCTGCAACGTTGTTAGTTTTCCTGTGCTTGTGGCGAGGGTGGAAAGCTGGAAGGGATCTGCGCGCTGCAGTAACCGAGACAAAGTCAAAGAGAGTTCTGCTGCGCAGGTGGTAGGAGGCACGGGGCGAAACAGCGGCCAAGGGAAGGGCAGAGGGTGCTCGGGGAGTGCTGCGCAGGGGCCTGGGGGCAGAGAACTGCACGGGGAAGAGAAAGCTGGAGGCGGGCGGGAGGGGATGGAGGAGGAGGAGGATTCGCCTGCAAGGCAGCAGCAGGGCTGTGTGAAGAGAGAAGAGGGCAGGAGGTGGAGGGGGTGAAACCGTGTGAGCAGGACAGGAAGGGTTACGTCGAGGGGAAGGTGTGGCGATGGAGGGAACTGAGGCTTGGAAGTTGTAAATATTCTCAGCAGTGACGATGGCCACATCCTCACTCCTGTGTCTCAGGGCACTGCGGCTGCCCTCAGCCTGCTGCTGTGACCGGTGGGTGAAGGTCTTGAGCCGAGATGCGACCCTTTTGTGCATGCCTTGTTGTATGCAGGGTTACAGCCTTTGTGCAGGATTCCTGGCCGAGGGCAATCCTAAGGAGTAGTTTGAAGGAGGCTGGTAAATGTTTGCAGAGCATGGGGCACCAGGAGGAACAGGAGCACTCACCTTATACATTGCATGTGAGTGCTGGCAGCAGGCCTTGGGGCTGCTCAACAGCACAGGAGATGGGTGAGTGCAGTCCACAGGTCCTGGAGATGGAGACGAGCAGCTCTCTGCTGCGAGGAGCAGAGCTGGCAGATGGGAGCACTGTGGGTGTCATGTCAGTGTAATGAGCTGGAAAAATGCAATTTGCAGTGGTGTTCTGGTGAATGTTAGCAGGGTGAGACTGTACTTCTTGAGGACAGAGGAAACCTGCTGCTTGAGGCGACTATGGACAGGTGAGGGTCATTCCTGTTTTCACAGCTCCTACCAACTACGTGGAGCCATGGAAGCATAAGGACCTGGTGGTCAATGCAAGGTGAAGATGATAGCTGTGTTACAAGTAAAGATGAAGGAAGTGGGTACAAAGGATGTGGTTTTTTCCTGGCAGGTGCAGGAGTGTCCTGAGAAGTTGAGCTCCATAATTTCCTTTTGGGAATTGTATTTGTTGAAAGTTATTTAATTTTACTGTTCTGTTGTTTTCTAGCTTAATGCTGGGGTTTGCCCAGACTTGAGTATTGCTTGTTTCAGCTGATAACTCTTAAATCAGGTGAAACTACAAAGAGCTCTTGTGGTTGTTGATAAAGTTTTATTTGTTGTTGTTGTTTTAAGAAAAGCCTTCTTTGTGTTACTTCCACTAATACATAAATTTGTACTTTGAATTAATTTTTATTCATCCAACAGTCTCACAATGTACTATGTAAAACAAAACAAAACAACAACCAAAAAACTCAACAACAACAACAAAAAACTCTTAGAAGATTTGAATGCATCTTTATATTCTTTTATTTATGGTTGCAGCTTGTTTGTCACTGGGGAAAGGAGTTAGTTTTGTCTGGTGGTGACTTAATGGGGCCATGGAATCCTGATGTGTAGCCCGTGTGTTTATTAGCAACATGATCATTCTGAAGATGGTTATTCTGAAGGGTGCAGTAAGAAATAGCTGTGGAAATAATAATAAAGTCACATAAAGAGCCAACCCTTTCCTGTCATGATCACAACAGGAATCATTCTAAGCAAGAAATTCTAGGCAGGTCTATTAATACCAATTAATTTACAGATCAATTCCTGTGATCAAAATCTGAACCAGTGCTGTGAATTAATAGAAATGACATCTATGATTCAAGGGCAGCTCTTCACAATCCTCAATGAGACATCTCAAGATGGTAAATCAATGCCTTGCCTTATTACTGGCACATTTCACATGTGCCATCTCTTTAAGCTCTGCCTCTCTGTGTGTCTCACAGTTTCCTAATGCTTGTATTTTCCCAGGTGGGCATTATGCAGGTGTAGAGACAATAAAAACTCGTCTCCTGCCGTGGTTAGGGACTTGGTTTTCCCATGCTACTTCAGGAAGGCTTTTTGAAACTAGCCTCTCCTTGAATCAGGTAGGTAGGAAGTCTATTTTTAAGGGACTTTTTTAAGGGAATAATAGCCTCTCTCTCTCATTTTGCTGAATGAAATATGTTGTTTTTTGCTCATGGTAACAACTGCACGTGACATTCAGAGTTTGAAGAAAAGCCTGCTGTGCAGTTACCAGTTTAGTACCATAAGGCACATCTATCGGTTGTTAAAAACATGGCACGCTGCTGTACGTGCAGCTTTCTTGAAATATAACGGTTACCTGACTTGTTTTAGTGAGTATTTCTTCTATTTCGTGTGCATGAATTCACAAATCTATTCTTGTTGATGGCATAGTCAGTCAAAACTCTTTCAGTTACCTTAAAATGGTTAAGGCTTGGAGAATATGTCCCACGAGGAGCAACTGAAGGAACTGGGGCTGTTTAGTCTGGGGAAAAGCAGCTGAGGGGAGACTTTATTGCTCTTCCAGTATCTGAAAGGTGCTTACAGCAAGAGTGGGTTTGGTCTCTTCTCACTGGTGACAGGACGAGGGGAAATGGTCTTAAGTTGCACCAGGGTAAGTTTAGGTTGGATATCAGGAAAAACTTCTTTACAGAAAGGGTTGATAAGCACTGGAACAAGCTCCCCAGGGAGGTGGTTCAGTCACCATCCCTGCATGCGTTTAAAATCTGTTTGGATATGGTGCTCAGGGACATGATTTAGCAGAGGGTTGTTAGTTATGGTTATTATGGTTAGTATGGTTAGGCTGTGGTTGGACTAGATGATCTTTAAGGTCCTTTCCAACCTGAGCAAGTCTATGATTCTATGGACTTTGCTGAAGTTTTTGGAAACACGCTTGCTAAGATTGCTAAATTACTGAAGGATTCTGTAAGGTAGAATGTTGAAACTGTTATTTTGTTTCACTGTAGGATTCAATTGAGAAAGAGAGACAACTGAGGCAGACTTTTCAGCTGCAGGAGCTGCAGGAAGAACTGACATCAACTCGTCTGGAACTTGACCATGTGCAACAAGAGTAGGGGAATTAACTGGGAGTTAACTCCCCATAAGAATCCTGCTCTTCCCCCTCTCCTCCCTGTTTTTTTTTTTTTTTTTTTTTCCTTCAGTACTTTTTTCTAGTGATACTTAAATACTGGGAGATTTGTAAAATTGTTCATTTCTGGCTTAAAATCAGTGTTTCAAAATATGCCATTTGTGTTCAAAGTGGGCTACAGGTGATACAGTCATACTTAGATTCCTCGATTGACCTGATAGGTTTTGCTTCTGGAAGAAGTGTTGGCAAACACGGCAGTACTCAAGACAAGAGTCTTGTATAGACCATAACCATCTCATTTAAATTATAGTTCATAGACTTTTACAGGCTGAGCAAACATTGATAAAAAATAAAGTAGCTTCAGTGCAATCATTATTGAAGGATGTAGAGCGTATCATAATTAATATGTAATTAGTACATGGCTTTCTAAGATCTAAAGCCGTTATGGCAAGATGAAAGAAGAAAGGCAGATTTTCACATAGTCCAATGGGACTGAACAGTTTTTGGATTGCATGAAGCACATTTTATGGAGCACTGTAGTTGCAAAATATTTGTCTGCTTCATGAACAAGTTGGTCTAGTTTGTGCCACTTCCAAGAACATTTCTGAGGCCACTCCAAGTGGCAGATATTTTCCACTGTATTCTATTTAGTGTGAGAAAAATGAATGTTCACAATCACAGGATCACAAAATCATTGATCATTTGGTTAATACAAAAAGGGGTGTAAGTTAATGCTTTTATTAAGAAATTCTAAGAACATCAAGTTCTCAGGTCTGAGAACTGCATAAGCTAGAATTGAAAAAGCGGTTTAGTAGAAAGAATATTTCATCATGTATCCTAGTCTGGCAGATGCCTGCTACTCCCCAAGTATCTGGATTTTGGATAAATGCAGACATTTTGATTTTTGACTATCAAGGAAGTCTCTCATTTCTGAGTTAAAGATCTGTGCATCCCCTTGGAAAGAAGATAAGGCAACAGAAAGACTGTCTTACAGTCAGTATATATTAAGTATCAGAAGTGTAGAGGTGAAACAAAGATTGCACAACATCTGGAAGAAAGGGTTATTTTATTCTTGCATTCTTTAGAATCATTAAGGTTGGAAAAGACCTCTAAGATCATCTAGTCCAACTGTCCACCCATCACTGTATGCTCACTAAGGTGTGTCCCTCAGTGCTGCATCTATGCCTTTCTTGAAAACCTCCAGGGATGGTAACTCTACCACCTCCCTGGGCAGCCTGTTCCAATGCATTACTGCTCTTTCAGAGAAGAAATTTTTCTTACTATCCAACCTGAACCTCCCCTGGCACAACTTAAAGCCATTATGTCTGTTATCCCATCCTGTGACTGTTATGTGGGAGAAGCAGCCAACCCCCACCTTGCCACAATCTCCTTTCATGTCATTGTAGAGAGGTCAGGTCTCCCCTGAGCCTCCTCCACTGCAAACAATCCTGGTTCCCTTAGCCACTCCCTGTAAGACTTGTGCTCTGAATGCTTCACGGCTTCCTTGCCCTTCTCTGGATCTCCAGGGCCTCAATGTCTTTCTTGTAGTGAGGGGCCCAAAACTGAACGCAGTCCTTGAAATGCGGCCTCTCCAGTGCTGAACACAGAGGGATGATCCTTCAGGCTCCTGCTGGCTGTGCTATTTCTGATACAAGCCAGGATGCTGTTGGCCTCTTTCGGCATCTGGGCACACTGCTCGTGTTTAGCTGGCTGTCAATTAACACAGAAGATCCTTTTCTGCTTTTCAGTTTCCCAAGCATGCAGCATTGCATGGGGTTGTTGTGACCCAGCATTTGGTCTTGTTGAACTTCACCTCATTGGCCTCAGCCAATCCCTCTGTTGGGCTTCCCTCCTCTCATGCAGATCCACACTTCCTCCCAACTTGGTGTCATCTGCAAATTTACTGAAGTTGCATTCAATCCCCTTGTCCAACAAATTTGCCAGAATTAGGTAATCTTGCGAAAATAATTCCAGCCTGGAAGATTTAATAAGCAAAGGAGTTGTCATGTGTTGATATTTCTGACCATTGAGAAGAGCAGTGGGAAATTAAAGTGGTGAGGCACTAGTGCTGGCTGCCCGGAGAAACTGTGGAATCCCATCTCTGGAGGCATTCAAGACCAGGTTGGATGGGGCCTTGGGCAGCCTAATCTGCTAGGAGGCAACCTGCCCATGGCAGGGGTTTGGAGCTTGACTTAGTTGTATGATTAATGGATACTACAAATGTATATAAATAAATACCTGAGGGGAGAGTGTAAAGAAAATGGAGCCACTCTCTTCTCAGTGGTGCTGGGTGTTGGAGGAGGAGACAAGAGGCAGTGGGCACAAACTGAAGCAGAGAAGTTTTCCTCTAAACATCAGGAAGCATTTCTTCACTGTGCAGGCAATTGAGCACTGTTGTGGTCTCCTTGGAGACCTTCAAAAGGGCAGCATGCTCTGTGTGTCCTTAACTTAGCATGGGTTGGACCAGTCAAGCTGCAGAGCTCCCTGCCAACCTCAGCTATTCTGTGGTTCTATGTACATATGAAGTTCTGTGTATATAAAGGTTGATTTAAGCATGAAGCACTTCATCCTATGCTCCTGTGTGGATAGACTTTATTTGCTGAGCTGGGGAGAAGTGTTGGATGGTCAAGTTGAGAAATACAAGGAAATTTATTCACTACAGAGATTGAGCATGTGGCAGTTTGCAGACAAAACAAGGCAGGTTTAGGCTTGTTCTGTAAGAAGTGGCAAAGATTCTTCACAGCCTTGTGGGCTGGGATTCTTTGTGCAGTCAAGTTAGAGAGGGGCTGGCTGTGCTTTACAAAGGCAGGACTTCGGAAGGCAGAAAGCTCAAAAGAAGTAATTCTAGGTATTTCAGGCAGAAGAGAAGTTGTGCTTTTATCCTTTCAGGATGAATGATGCTACGGGTCGTTATTGTGTAGTTATTGATAACAGGAGACAAATGCAAAAGAAAGAATTCATGTCCCATGATACCCCATTTACAGACAGTGAAGTCATTCTGAGCACTGTAAATTGTTGGAATAGATGAAAAACTGGTTGAGCCTTAATGAAAAAAACATGAGTTGTAGCAAAATAATTCTTTTGCTTAGTTAGATATGACTTTTATAAACTATGTTGTGTGCCGATAGCCTGCACAAAGACCACTGTGATGGTTTTCATATGTTAAATTGGTACAGATATGGTCTGCTGAAACAGTTATATTAAATTCTCTGGTGGAATCTCTGCCTTTGCCATGAAGGTTATTAATTTTTCTTGCAGTCTGGCACAAACCCAGTTGGCTCTTGAAGACACAAAGACCAAATCAGCCACTACTCTTTTGACAGCAGCAGATGAAATTATTCAGCTAAGAGCAGCGTAAGAAAAATCTAATCTTGCTGCATTTGTGACAGAAAGTCAGCATGCAAAGACTGTCCGTCTTCTACCTGAGTGGATGCTGTTTATTCTACTACACTGTCCTATGCTATAGAGAAAATATGTCTATGTCTTGACATCCTGGAGCTTTTTTTCTCTGCTTTCTAGGAAGAAGTAGCACAAATCAACCCAAGTGAGAAGAAACTTTATTCTTGCTTCAAGAGGTTAGGTTCCTCTAATCTATTTAGGTTAGAGGAAAAGTTACTTCGAAATGATCGGCTTGATAGCATTCAGTCTTGTAGATGAAATTAGTAGGAGTGAACTATATTTGGAATGTAGTGAACTACAGACGTGGATTTCCTGCTATGATGCTCTTGAAAGTAAGGATATATGTTAGATAGAAAACATTTTGGTTTCTCTGCCTTAAGGTGAAGTTATTTATTAGGCTTTTTCTTTCAGAGTGTTTTCCAGATCCTTTTGCCTGTCTGCACAGAACTGTACATGAGTATTAGTAATGTTGCTGTCTCTGCTTTAAAAGTTTTTACAGTTCCTTAATGTCTTGGTCACATCTGGAGAGTTAATTTGGATCAGTAATAGAGCAACTGGGGGGACTTCCCATTCCACTTAAGTGCGGTAGCCTTTAAAACTAATTTTCTTTTGTGGCTGGTTCTACAGTTCTAGAAGCAGTTGTAATTCTTCACTGTTATGAAATATAGCCCAGTTTTTGTTTTTGTTTTTAATGGTTATATTATCAGAAAAGAATGTGGAAGAGTAGTAGGGATTCTAAATGCCTATCGTTGCTTCTGGAATAATGCAAATTAATGGATTTCATCTGTGGACTTTCCCTGGTAGGTGTTCATCACTTCAGACTTTAACTTTTTGAATGGATACGTAGAAGATAGACTTGCATTCCCATAAAATGTTTCTGTTTTTGATTTTTTTTTTAGCTGAAAAGTAGCTCATACTAATATTTTAATTCTTAGATGAAAGCTGACTACTGTTTTCCAGATGAAAGCAATTCGTTGAGAACAAAGCCTCTCACAAATTCCGTGTGTAGGTCTTAATGCAGACTGCATGGAAATTCGTGTCGACATTTGTACTAGTGACAGACAATAAAACATTCCTGTCTTTTTGTGAATTCAGGATTTCTGGAATCTCCATGCGCTTATTGTTCATGTTCACGCTCAGTTTAGTTGACAACTCTGTCTTTGTGTCTTTTGTCTGGGTTCTGAACTTCCGATTGAAGCAATTTCTGTGTTCTTTGAAACATCTTTTCAGAATCGCAGGAGAGTTGGACTAGATGATCTTTAAGGGTCCCTTCCAACTCAAATGATTCTATAAAAACTGTAACCATTTCAGCTGAGTAAAATCAGATTTGCCGAGTCTTCACCTGCCTGCGACACCAGGGCAGGTTTATCCATTTTTCTGTCTTGTTATCTATATATCTGTCTCTATCTGTTTATCTATTTTACTGAAATAGCAGTTTCCCAGGACTCTCCTTTGCTTTTGACTCTTTTTTTCTTTTTGGAATAGCTGTTGGACTCATCTATCTTATCTGTAGTTTATCTGTCTTGTATACTTCAATCGTTTTTTTTGCCAGACACCTCTTTCTCCTGGGCTGCTAGAGCAAATGTGTTCTAGGCTCAATATAATTAACTTGCAGAGTCAGTGTAAGTCTTTGTTATATTGGGATATGCATTATAGCAGGATTTAGTTTTTTACTGCAGCATTATGAACAAAAATAGTTTTGTTTTTTTTTTTTTTGTTTTGTTTTTATAAATAGTAATCAATATTTAAATATAATTGGAAGTTTTTCAGGGTCTCCCGTGGAAAACCTGCTGTCATATGCAGACTGAACAAAATCCTATTAGTATTATTATAAGTGGAAGTTCACTCCTCGGATATTTAGAGTTTTGCCAAGGTATAATCAAACTGAGTGAAGCCAGACAACTTGCTGAAGAAAGTAAGGTCATGAGGGCTTTTCTGTCTTCATCTGCTTTGTAGAGGACATATTATGTAGGTTAGCAGAAAGAAGTTTTGATAAACGTGATTATAATTATTAACGTTCTTTATGGTACCTGAAGTCAGTGACTTTAGGAGGTTGTATTTTCTCTGTCAGAGAGGACTCTTAAAAAGAAATAGAGAAAAAAAATGGGTGTGGAAAAAAATACATAAGTGTGTTGTTCTTGCCTTGAATTTCTGTGTGAATCAAGCTTAATTAAAGGAGTGGTGGAATGGGGAGTCCTTGTAACTACTGAATTGTTCTAAACTGGAGGTTAGCAGTGAGATGCTCTTATCCAAAGAGTTCTTGACAGTTTCTCAAGGCTGTTGAATTTTTTCCTAGTGGAATGGTGGAATTTCAAACATCAAGGAATGGATTCTAGCCTTAACTGGAAATAAAAGTGGATATAAAACACTGTTCTCTATCTGTAGCTTTTTCTAACCAGGTTAAAAGGACAGTTGTGACAGATTTGCTGATCTTATCACCTGTGATCTTCTCAGTCCTGCTCCTTAAAGCTTTCCTGCAACTTCTCCTGAGCAGAAAGCTTGCCAATTGATAGGTGTAATAACTTTCATTCAGGTTCAGATTGTGGAAAATATGACCAGTGCTCATTAGTAAAGAGAAGGGAGGACAAACTGAATGCCTCCAAAATGAATAGAAAGCATTGGTATTTTTTTAGAAAGAGGAAAACAAGAGTGATGTTTGTGCTAGCAGGGGAAGTGGAGGTGTTGAGATGCTTCCTAACATTATGTAAGAGTAAGCAATAGACTGTAAACTTGCAGATGTTTGAGAAACACTTCTTTGCGGAGCGGGGGGGGAGTGGAAGAGGAATCATTTGCTTCTGGTATTACTCAAATAACAGCATTAGTGATGTCTTTTGAGCAGAATAATTGAAGAAAAGTAACTGAGGACCTGATGTGAGAAAAGAACTGTCAGCTCAGTTTTCTTTCCTATAATTTCCTTCAAGTTCTGACTCTAGATGAGTCAGAATATGAGAAAGAAACCAATGGTTTTCTTCGACCTCATGATCTAAGGTAGTTCAAGGACACCAGAAGTTAGCCAGTCATCTCTGCTGTAACATAGCGCAGTGTATCCTGTCTCCTGCCACAGGGCACCTTTGCACTTTAAAGTGTACTTAAGAGTATTGTTTTTTTAATCTTTTAATCTTATTGTATTTCAGCACAAAGAGTCTCCTGTCCTGTTCGTGTTTGATAAGGGTTAATTGATAGACGATTTGCATTGTTGGTGGAAGGGCATCTCATGACTGACTTTATTCCATGTGGTTAAGTCTGAAGGCTTCCCGTGCCCGGGAGGAGGACTCTCTGAGGAGATTAGATCATCTGAATGACTGTGAGCAGCAGATTGAAATGTTGCGGGATGAGCTTTCTATTCTGGATGCCCAGAAGTCTGTTTTGCAGAGCAGGTAGGGCCATTTTTCAAAGAAGTCACAGGATTGGAGAAATTGTAAAGGTTAGGTGGCATGAGGTGGCTCCTCATGTTAATGTGAAGCATGAACAGAAGTTAAACTTCTGTACTTTGGCTGCAGAGGAACATAAACCAGCTTTAAGCTGGTTTCTCCTAGTGCGTTAACTTTTAATTTTCTACAGTTATCCTGAGCTCATAACAAATTGAATAGCTTTAAAAAAATTCATTGAAAACAACTGTACAGAATAAAAACAGATGATTTGTTGTTGTTTCTAAGTCCTCTTTGCATACTGTACCTTATGGGGCAGAAATTATTATTCTCATTTGTTCAACTTCACAGCTTCCCAGTGATACTGGAAGAGAAATATATCTCTGAAGTTTTCATAGTTCAATGTGTGTTTAGCCAGAACAAAGTGAATAGCTTTATACAGTTTTGGAAACTGTTTTATTTTATCAGTTAGGATCTAGCCCATGAAATACACTGACACAAATGCCTTCATGCTAAATCAGCTGCAGCTTTACTTTGATTGTTTTGCCTTCAAATCTCAGTGTTCCTGATGATAATTAAATTGATGTAAAGCTGCTGCTAGGCCAAGGCATCTGCAGATGCTGAAGTGACTGCACGTTTTGTTGTGTGTCTCACTTAGGATTGCAAGGAGCCGCTCTCCTTCCCCGAGGCGCATGAGGAGCAGGTCACCTAGTCCTCTTCCCCTGAGGAGCTGCTCACCTGGCCGAGCCAGGAGCACAAATGCTTCACGGCACGCCTTCCTGGTTGCTCGCTTTGGGGACATTTATTCTAAAGATCGCTTTGATGCAGAGAGAATTTTGAGGATGTACATCAGTGATATGGAGGTGGTGCAGAGGATAATATACACAGCAGCAGTGGTAAGAAAAAATATTTCTCATTTCATAAAATACTATGACTGGATTGGATTACGTTATGTTTGTGAAGTACAAAAAAGAAAATTTCTCATTTTACTTTTCCTTCCCTTCCACTTCTACATTAAACTTAGTTTAATGTCCTTTTACCTCTGTCTTGCCCTTGCATTAGAACAGGGTCAGTGATCTGCAGTACATGTGCTAAGAGAGACTCATAAGAAAATTTAGAATGGCTGGAAAGGCAGATGATTCTTGCACTAAGCATCACTGTTCCATTTAAATGAATACTTTTGGAAATATTACATTATACAGAGCTGAAAATGTTTCGTGTCATGATTCCTTCTAGCCTGTAATTATATGTTTTTCTAGTTTTGTGAGTCCCTTGAAATTACCTACATACCTCATGTTCACTGTGAGCTCAGCCTGAAGAAATTTGTTTTCCTTTTTCTGTGTTTAATTTTCTTGTCTAATGAAATTCACGTAGTCCATACCTGTGTCAGAGAGGCAGTGCATCTTTTAATGTGTGTGATCCCAAGCACATCTAACTTACTGCAATTTCTTTTTCCACAGTTGTCTTTACCCAAACATTCTTCCCAACAGACAAGAAGTACTGCTGTCTGACATGTTAGACTGTAGCACCAAAATGCAATTATTAAATTATGTACTTGATGTCTTGGAATGTACTTCTACTGTGTGTATATGTGTATCTGTATATCCTATATGCCAAGTTGGAGTGTTACCTGTGAAGCTTTTCAATCCCACCTTTGAAAAATAAATCATAATTTGATTTCATCAGAGAAGTCCCTCCAGAAGAGGTATTTTCAGCCATCACCTCTACAGCAATGTTTTATCTTCCTCCTTAAAACTATAACACCGGGTTAAAGTTATCCTTTCAGACCGACAAAAATCTGACCTTGCAATCTCCTGCATTTAACTGGACCTTCTATATATTTCCAGGAGTCTTTCCAAGCAGCAAAGATGGCCTACAGGCAGTTCAAAATGCGTGTAAGAAAGACACTGTCTATAGGGCACTCAGGGCCCGAGTCACTGGAGGACACTGTTATGGATTATATAGTTCGCCATGAGGATCTGTACGATGTTCAAGCCAGCGTCAATGTAAGTCGAGGGCAGCAGGGAAGGGATGTGTTGATCAATTTCAGTAGCTAATAAATTCACTGTGTAAACTAGAAATGCAGTGTACCCTGGAGCAGGAAGAGAAGTTTATTGCATGGATTTTATGTCCTGTAGCAGTTTATTTTCCAGAATAATATTGTTATGGCCTGATCGTCTCTTGTTTTATTTGCCTACAACTCTAACATCTCTGTCAGAGTAATAGTGTTGATTAGATGCAGTGTTACTGTATGAATCACATAAATATAAGGTGAATTTTATTATTTTTCTTAAGCTCTGTACTGAAAAACTGTATCCTCCCTCTTAAGACTGATGTCAACTCTATTTCTGTTTCTCTAGCTTTATGAAGCTAATATTTTCTGCAATAACTTAAGATAACAATTCTGAGAGCCTTTTATATTGATTTTTAAGTGTGGGAAGCTGAGACGCATATTTCAGATGGATTTTCTTACTTTCCCATGAATAAAAGCAGTAGTGAGCTCTAATTACTCTGTGTTTATTTTCAGGAAGTGATTCGCTCCATGAGCATCAACCCAAAGATTTCATCCACACCAGAATTTGATTTTGCTGTCATCAGCAGTTTTATTCGAGAGCTATGCCGTGTGGCTTTTTCAATGCAGACACTCACGCCTCCTCTTGATATTGCCTTTGGTATGGATGGTGAGCTCTTCAGTGAGACCAAGTAAGAATGCCCTATTTTCATTGAGACTCTTGTTATAAAAATCAAAGATGGAAAAAATCCATCAGATTGCATAGTCTATTTCTTTCCTAACTAATATAAAGGTTTAAGATTGATGAAAACACTAACTTGGTGCAAATATTCCTGGTCTATGGTGAATTCTGTATGTTTTTGAAGTTTATAATTATATAGAAATGCTGGGACATAGGCCAGCATTTATAGCTTATTTTTTAATGATCAGCATAGCAATTTTCAAGATAAGCTTTAATCTCTTAATTTTATTCAATTTATCTTTTCAGAGGAAAATCATTGTTCTTCCTTTCTCTGCTTAATCTCTATCTCTGTCCAGTGTTTATAAAATGCCTGCATCTTTGCTCTGTTTTCCCTAGTCCATTTGGTAAGTCATTTTTACTGACATCTGTCAGTTGGTGGCTGATACCAAGATCTATCAACATCTATACTGTGATTTTCAGGCTGTGGCTGATATATGATGTATGGATTATAATATGCTCCTGTCTCTTCTAGTTTAGAGCTGAGAAAAAAGGAAAACACCTTTTTTTATTTAAAGAAAATACACACCATAACATCGTTTTTTTTTTTTTTTTTTTCCATGAGTTTAGGGTTGATTGCTATGTTGGCTGACAGGATATTCCCAAGCCTTCAAGAAAACTAATGGGATTGGTAGCTCAAACAAAGCTGCTCTTGAAAGCAAGAAATGCTGCAGAAATAGAGAGGCTTCTAATAATAAAATAAATTAGAATGGAGCTCAAATGAGAGGATCTTGAAAGCCAAGAAGAGAAATAAAAACAAAAGTAACCCTTCAACAGAGTACTAAGTCATACGTGACTAGAACTGTCCAAATACTGGTCAGTTAGCTATTTTATATCCAAAGCAACTGGCTGAAGTATGAAGGCAGCAATGCTAGAGAATAGTCTTCACATGTTTTCTACACCTGCTTAATGTGTATGGCTGTGGGAGATGTGTATGAACACATACGCCTACATCTATCTGTCTACCTGTACAGATATATGTATGGCATAAATACATTTACATATATAGCATAGATATATGCTATGGCATTCTATAAAAGGATTGAACAAACCATATTTTACCTTATGTCTTCCTCCAGCAGAATTTCTTGCTTATTTATGACGTTCTTCTATATGAGTTGCTATTGTATATACTTTAGTAATGTATATATGCGTTGCTACTTTCTGTTTCAGTTTTTTGGTATTTGTTTTGAGTTTGAATATGCAAAACCAGGCATTTATTACTCAGACAATTTTGCAGAGTTTGGGAGGTAATATATATCTGCTGCGTTAATACACCCCTTTCAAATAATTTTTAGGAAAGTCACTGTTTCATTATCAGTATCTGAGGATCTCATTAGTAAAATTAGTAAAATCTCATGTCACATAATCTTGATAATAAATTTACATCCTAGTATCCCAAACATTTCTGTAATATCCTTTATAAGGGTCTCGTTTTGACAAGATACTTCAGGAAGATTCGATGAATGTGACTGTCAAAAAACTGCTCTGGAGATTTGATCTGTCAGTGAACCCAAGGGCCTTGACTTCTGTGGGGGATATACAAATACATGGCCTCCCAGACATTTGAACTATTCTACCAAGGCTGGTTTGTGAATGGATTTCTTTTATGGATTCACTTGAACAAAACTTATTTTTGTGATATGCAAATAATGTCAAGAAAGATGCTTATGAATTATACTAATACAAGGCTTTTTATCAGCCTTGGTTACTTGAAGAATCATATCACACTTAAACACAGATATTTCTTGTACACTGTATTACTACAGGTATCATCGTAGCGTTGACTCAGATTATACAGCTGCATTGGTGGCCTATCATGTGTGGCCTGCTCTAATGGAAAATGATGTTGTGATTGTGAAGGGAGAAGCAGTCACAAAAAGAGGAGCTCTGGTATGTACTTTCCTTGAGGAGTGTATTAAGAGAAGTCATTAGGTTTAAACTCTATTTTAAAATCAACATCTTAAGGGAAGTAATTGGATTTAAGCTTTTTTTTTTTTTTTTTTTTTTTTTTTTTTAAATTTAAAAAGATGAATTCTACGTTGTTCCCTATATGGCTGGAGTGGTGTATGTCAAATGTAAGATTTAAATTCTCATAGTGTATTTAAGATGAATTGTTCAATTTACTTTAGTAGATTTGTCGTGGAATAAAAGTTGTGCTACTCCTGACAGAGCTCTTTATAGGAAGAAAATTCACTGTATTTAGTATTTGTTCTGTGTCCTCACACCTTGTCCCAGCATGACAAGTCTGCTTGCAGAGTCTGCTTTTTGTAAACACTCTCTTAAAAGAGGTTTGCTAATCTCTTCTCTCGTAGTGGTCTCACAGGAGCAGAAGTAGAAGTCGGAATCGCAGCCGTAGCGTGAGTCCTCTTCTGTCTCACGTAAGCCTCAACTGAATGCTGGTAGTCTAAAAAACATCAGATATTTTAAACTCAGAAATAGTAGGGACTTGCTGAATTTGATTTTGAACCACTGGAGCTGCACTAGAGAGTAAAGTATGCAAATTTTCCAAATGTTGGTGGGTTCCCAGATGCCTTTCTTGGCTACTGATCTTTAGCACACCTGAATTCTCCATTCTGTTTGTCTTGCAGTTATCTCGAAGCCGTAGTCCTTCACCACGGAGAAGTGGAAGTCCAAGTAGGTGGGAATTAGTTCTTAATGATTTATGATTTTCACATTAAGCCCCTGGAAGACTGAGCAAAGAGATGAAAAAAATATGCTGAATGTCTTTGACTCTTAAATATTTGTCCAAGTCTTGTTCTTAAAATGAGTAGCCCTTTTTCTGTGTATGAAAAGGGGCTGAAATTTCTGTATCTGAAATTACTTTTCACTCTGCTCAGACCACTGTCACATGCTTTCTTTTTGCTGGTTGCCTTTGCTTTGGCCTAGTCTCTATTAAGTAAAACTTGTTCCCCCTTGCACAAGATTGACAGTTATCTATCTACATGCTGGCTAGCTCCATGCCTTTACAAACCTGAAGAGGTAGCTAAGTGGGGAGGGTGATGTGGGAGGAGTTGAAGCAATATGAATTTGCACTCACCTTGAAGCCCAGAGAATATAGAGATACAGGAAAAATTACTGTGCTGAAATGCGTATTTTTCTTCAACAGGGCATTAAGATAACTGGATAAGTTCCTGTGATTTTGTACATCTGCATCCATCAACATTGCTTGTGCCTTTTCCTCTTCAAGGAATACCTCAAATGTCGCAATAATGTGAATGGCTGTGAACTCAAAAAGGACTGTATTATGTTGCTTTTTTTTCAGTGTGTTTTTATAACTTTAGAAGTCTTATTTATGACCTATTATGACACTAATTCAGCCCTTCCAATTAAAAAAAAAAAAGTGCCATATATGTTATATCAATTTTGCAAAGGTTACAGAGCACTGAGGAACCCTTGCTGTAATTATGGATGGAGACAGATGCAATAACTGTAGAATGGTTTCCCTAGATACCAAATATTTCATTTTATCTTGATAGAATCTTTAGCATAACTTAGATGGTGGATGTTACGGAATGTTGATGTTAGTTGTTTCTTGAAAATGATTTAATTAGCTGGTGCTTATTTACAATTTTAGAAAATGAGATGTGAAATTCTCAGACACATCCTTTTAAATATCTTCTTTGTCACATGGATGACTGTCTGGGGTCTTGAGTTTTTACATAGAAATATAAGATTCGTCATAGTAATTCTGATACATAATTCACCAAGTTCACTGTTTCATTCCAGTCAATATTTAAGTCTACAGCTTTCCCTAGATTTATCTCTGTGGTTTTGGGCATGTAAACGATTAGAAGGAAAAAAAAAAAATCCTTTATTTCTGCCTCCTGTTGCAATAGCCTGTGCACTGGAACATGACAGTTCATTGCTGTTCCTGTAATAGCATGAACAAAAATATTTTAAATGATTCTGAAATTATTTTGTACTTAAAATTATGTTACATGAACAAATTCTGTGATTTCTTTCCAGAGATCTTGTACAGATTCATATATCCACACCCCTTCTCACTGCTTCTTGTGTGGTTTAAGACCTTGGCACTAAACTCTTTGGCACAGATTTCAGGCAGCCTTTAGCATTGGTCCGCATGAGTTATAAATCAGCTGTACTCTTGTTCAACAAATACATTTTCATTGGAATTAGGCCTGTTAGGAGCCAGTGAGAGCAGAATGAAGTCTCATACATTAAAGACCATTCACAGAGTTTCCCCGAATGAATGAAGAAGACACAAGTGAGAGGTGTGTGGATTTTATGTGCTTTGCTTTATCTGAGAAAATCAAGAGAAAATGCAAAGTGATATGAGTCCTCTTCTAAGAGCCTACTGAGAGCCATTGCGGATCTGGGCTTGAGGCAAACCTGCATATTTCTGCACTGATCTCATAATTCAAACCACCACAGCTGTGGAAAAAACTGAGCACCTGCAGATTGTGTGGCAACAGGATAATTAGGTATCCCAAGTATGATTTTGAGCAACAAAATGAAGAATTTCTCAAAACCTTTTTATTAGCAATGGCTAAAGAAATGCAAGTTTGTTTGTTTGTTTGTTTTTTTAAATAAGAAAGTGTATTTTTTCATCTGCATGTGTTATTTTGAATTGAGGTAAGTTTCTCTTCCAACTGTGAGAAAATTAAGATGACATCAAGAACATGTTTCTTTCTGACAAGCATGAGAGGCAGCATAGTTCCAGACTTGCACACACCTATGATCACAGTAGGAACAAGTATTCCCAAAGACCTGAAAAAGGCTGTAAAAGTGAGATTAACGCTGCTTGGCGGACAACCTCATCTTGTCCCACATGTATGGGGATGAGCTAGTAATCTCAAAAAAAAACCAAAAAAAAACAAAAAAAACCAACCTAGTGAAATAGCAGCTGATGAGCTGTTAGAGAAAGTAGCTCTAGTTCTTATATGCTTTTTTTTTTTTTTTTTTTTTTCAGAGCAAACAATTCTTAGTAAAGTAGAAAGTCAGTCTGCTGCACGGCAGCACTTAATTACAAGCAATGGTTACTGTACTGAATTGCACTCAGTAGCCTGTATGTTCCTTTAAAGAGACAACAGTACTTATTGCCTGCACAGCTTATTTACAGACAATTAAACCCATAGGTCAGTCAGGATTGCTTTTCGTGTCAGGTTAGACATGAATAGCTCCTGTGCTTCTTTTTATACACATGACAACAGTGCAGAGAATGCATAACAATAAAACTTATGTCGAATTAACCATTAAATATGAAAGAGCATGTAAAAAAGGACTGCTGTAAAAGCTTGTAAGACCCTATGAAAGAATGGATTATCAATATCAAGTTGATTATTTGGTAATTTAATAAGAGCTTTAAAAATCATAAGAATTTTTTTTTCTTTTCTCTCATCTGCAAGCCTGAGTAATGCTACACTCATAAATAGAGCAAAGTAGGAACAATACTATTAGGATGGATTTTAATAGGTGGCCAATTAAAAAAGTTGTGTATATGAGAAAAAATTGTCATCCTGTAACAGTGCCATTGGAAATACTGTTCTTCATCTTTATGTAACCTTTATGAGTCACTTTTGATGAGTGAATTATACAATGATTTTCTTACTGCAGCATTAAGTAGTCTAGCATTATATTAAAGCATTGAAAATTGGTTTGTTATGGCCTCGAGCTCTAATGGTGTGTGCCAGACTGAACATTTTTAGTTTTAGGACTATACTGTATTTCTTTCAGTCATGAAGCGTACTGATCACTTATACTAAAAAAAGTTTGCTTTATGGTTGAAATGTTGGAAACAGTTTTCTGATAGCTTCAAGTAAGCAATGCTATCAGGCTTGTGCTGATCTGCAGGTGTGTTATCTACATGGAAGCTGTTTCACTCAATAGGCTGAGCACAAACAGAGAGCCCACCATGCTTCTTTACTTTTAGAAGATGAAAGCATGACACAAGTGAAGTGAGTGGTGTACTTTGAGAATACAGCTGTATTCTCTAATACATGTATACACTGCAGAAAGACAATTCTCAAAGAAATGTTAAGTATTTGAAAATGAAAATTTGAAAGTTCAGTCTTTCCAATTAGGGGAATATACTCAAAACACATATAGCAGACGTAACTCTTACCTTTGTAAACTACTTTCAGGACCTTCGGTGAAAGTCTACCTCTGTGTTGATGATACATGCACACAGACAACAGCATGGACAAGAGTAACACTTATTATTTGGAAGAATCACCCTCTGTTCACAGGAACCTTTTTGCCCTATGACTTCTCATACAGTTTGTATCCTTTATGGCTGACTCAGTTGACAAAAGATTAGCTTGATGATTTCTACAGGTAACTATAATTTGGGCAGGAATCTACCTAACTATAATCAGGTGCAGATAGAGCTGGACCAGCCTTTTATATAAAAATGCAATGCATATTTTCATTTCCAGTCTATCTGTGTATGGTGTATTGCTTGACCTAAAAACCGTGTGGTTTAAATGAAGTACTTTCTAAAGTTCGTCAGCCATTAAAGCAATGAATTGTGTATGAAACTTTAAATGTCAGCATTTTGAATTGATTAATACCAGTTAGTACCATACGTTTTTCTCACTCAGACTGAAATTTCAAAATTTCAAGGATGACTAACTGCAATCAAAATAACATTTCGACTTCAGTTATTCTGGATAAACAGTGTGTTTTAAACTGGTAGCTCGAAACTGTATTGCTAATTAGTTAGTATGAAGAACTAATAAAATATCAAGCCTGAAATATTTATTTATTTATTTTTTAATGCTAAGACCACCTGACCAGCTCTGAATTTATTTTAAAATAAGAATAAGAAAATAAAAATGAGGAAGATCTCAATTGGTGCTGCTGCAAATGGATGTCTGATGCTAGACCTCATGGTGACATCTGTTCAGCATAAGCATGTGTTCTGTTTTCTTGGTATCACTGGAACCAGGGTGGCATAATTTATCTAGAGTTGTGACTGATTGTCCACAGGAGTTTTCAGTTAGGCAGTGTGTGTTTAACTGACAGTGCATGTGCAACAGTGCAAGAAAACCCCAGAGCCTTGAACAGGAAGACAAGAGAGATAATTGGAACAGTTTCTTCGTACTTTATAATACTTGTAATATAATTGTATTGTGAGATATAAGTACAAATTTTGTCACACTGGCAAGAGTGTACAAGCAGTAAGTGAAGGTCATCTCTTCCAATTTTTTCTGACATTTGGCTTCATTGGTAATGCTGAATTAATAGTGTTGTGGAGCCACCAGTCTGTGCCTGAGATTCATGCATGGCTGTGTTCAGATCCACTGAGCACAGCTTGCAGGAAGAAACTTGCTATGAATGCATGCTCCTGTTTAATTCCTATTTTTCGTCAATGTCTATCAGATAGCTCCGTAACCCCCTACCATAGAATCATAGAATCCTTAGAGTTGGAAGGGACATCTAGTCCAATTCCCCTGCAGCAAACAGGAACACCTAGGGATAGATCAGGTGCTCAGAGCCCCTTCCAGCCTGACTTTGAGTGTCTCCAGGAACTGGTCTTCCACCACCTCTTCGGGCAACCTCTGCCCATGCTTCATCAGCTTCACTGTAAAAGAATTTTTCCATATCTTCAATCTAAATCGACCCTCTTTGCAAAGGAATAGGCTGTCCAGGTCTCAAGTCCAGGTCTCAAGTGCTTGCTGGAATTTTAGCTGGGGTGGCCTTAGAGCATTTGACAGCTGGCAAGCATGGCAGCAGGAAGAGAAACCTTGCTGTAAAGGCTGAAGCACACAGCGGGGCAGTTCTGCCTTCACTAAGTAGCCAGCCACTGGGAACTAGCTAGAAGAAAAGCCCTTGCTCCTGCACACATCTCTTGCTTCTCCTTCCACAGGGAGAAATGAAAGATGCAGAAGCATCCTTGTGCCCTGCAAAGCATTCAGGTGTAGCTAGGTTTGTAGATTAGCATGGAGCAGAATAAAAACCATAGGAAACCTTATCACAGCACTCAGAATGTGACAGAAGGCATGTTAGATGAAAGTTTATGTGCTAACCCTAAGGGGTCAACTTGAAAAAAAAATTAAAACCTGCATATAGGTTTATTGGAGAAAGCCTTGGAGATTGCAGAAAGGCTCCCAGCTGAGGAGCTGATGGAGCGGAGCATTTCCCACGAGATGGCACTATTGCCTCATGCACCGGCACAGCATCTCCCGGCCCTCGGAAGAGACGGCTGCCAAAAGAGGTTCTCAGGTACGTGTATGAGTGTTGCAGCTCGGAGCAGTATGAGCAGATGTGAAGCAGAGAGTTAGCTTGCTGAGTGATTTGATGCAGGTTGCTGCCGGGTAAGAATGGGAAAATCCTGACACATGGCTGATGAACGTCACTACCAATCTGTTATTCGAAGAAGCTGGTTTAGGTCTATACTGTTTTGGGTCGTTTTAAAAAGGAAATAATGGGCTCTCCAAAGGAAATGGTGTTTATCTGATAATATTCAAACTGCTCTTTTCAAATAATTTGTGCTTTAGCGTACCTTCTTCCCCAACTGAAAATCACATTGAAAATCTGTTTGAACTGCTTTTAATGTTTGTCCATTTTTTATTATTTCGATTTCTTAACTATTTCAAGAAAAAAAAAAGAAGTGTCCAAACTCTTATATTTTGAGAGACTGTTGAGCAATGATGGCTGTCTGGCAAGCTTTTCTGTTCTTCCCTATGATCGAAAGAGGTGTTTGTCTAATAAATTTTGCTAGTCTTTAAATCAGCAGCGCACTCCCTCCTTTAGAGTTGTATCTCTTGTTGATTTTCTAATCAGGATCAGCTGTGCCTCCTGAGCCACCAGTGTGGTGCTGGAAGAAGCAGCACTGTATGGAACCTGATTGCCACCACAGTAACTGCTTTGGATGATTATGTTCTCAAACTGATTAGCTGCTGTTCAAAAAATAAGTTTGCTTTGTGCCATGCCCTGTCTCACTGCAGTGTTGCTCCAGAATTTCACTACTCTGAAGCTTAGAAGTTTTCTTCTGAGTCCCAGCCCAAATTTGCTCACTTCCAGGCTGTACCTCTTTGTTCTTCTGTCAGCACTGCTCTTTGTGTACAGATGTCCTTGTTCCTGCCTTAGGTATTTACCCTACAGATGTGCTCCTGTAGACCAAGCTCACCTCTCAGCTTGGTGTTTGTTTCTCTCAGCTTAAAAAAAACCAAATCTTTTCATCTTGGCAGAAAGAGGCTCTGCTGCCTTGATTACCCTGTTTGACAGCCCCTGCGTATATTCTTCTTTAAATCCATCTCTCCTGAGTACAGCTGACTAGGAATGGTGCACAAGACATAACAAGAGCTTTGGATCATGATGTTTTTCATTTTAATTATAGCATTGTTGCATCCACAGGAAATCCCACAAAGGATCTTATTTCTGAAGGACAATATTAATCTTTTCCAGCACACATTAATGTCTCAATATGTGTGATCAGTTATGAAGCTTCATTATCCTCAGTTGTTTCAAACTCATGATTCATTTCTTTTCTAGAAAGTCAATCCATCAGTACACTTTTTTTGCTTCTTAACTCTGGAATGACTCTAATATGGCTCTAATTTCTTGAGAAATGCTTTTTTC